ATGCAAGAGTGGTGGAAAGAAGAGCACCTTGCTGAGATTAGCAAGAAGGGTAGTAAGCTTAAAAATCTTGAAACTAAGTGGAAGAAGGGCTTCAAAATGCCGCGTTTTGATCTTGGAAAATGGCTTTACCTTCACAGACGAAAGAATTTCAGGGAGCAGAGTCAAGATGGATGTGATCAAAATGGGGAGTTCAGTTTCAGGAGGGGATGGAAGAAAAAGAATGCGCATTCCGTTGGCAGTGACGTCCACAGTGGCGATATATTTAGTCGTGAACTCAGCAGCACAACAAGCATGAGAGGAACTTTGTGCTATGTTGCACCAGAATATGGTGGCTGTGGATACTTGATGGAGAAGGCTGACATTTACAGTCTCGGAGTTCTAATCCTCGTGGTTGTGTCCGGTAGAAGACCATTGCATGTTCTTGCATCGCCCATGAAGCTCGAAAAGGCGAATTTAATAAGCTGGTGTCGACAGTTGGCGCAAGCAGGAAACATACTTGAGCTTGTAGATGAGAGATTGAAAGATGAGTACAATAAGGACCAGGCTAATTTGTGCATAAATTTGGCTCTCGCTTGCTTACAGAAGATGCCAGAGTTGCGTCCTGAAATTGGGGAGATTGTTAAGATCTTGAGAGGGGAGATGGATCTCCCACCACTTCCGTTCGAGTTCTCTCCCTCCCCGCCTTCAAAGTTATACAGCAGGTCAAGGAGAAAACGTACGGCCTCTGCAGATTAGGCACTGTAACACATTCTTCATTTTACTTCTCCTTGATCATTCCTCGCCGGGGTTATGGTGATTGTAATATATAAGAGATGATCCGAAATCGTTTGAGAAGCCTGAAAGATGTGTAGCATGAGGATCATATTGGTGTATGTACATTAGGTAGATGCTTCTGTTTTCTTTTTTCCATTAAATGGGTTCATGTTCAAGTACACCTGACTTCCCTTTGTTGTTTCATGTAAACCGGAATTTTCAACCATAACAAACCAAAGACTCCTTGAATTTATGCAGTGGATTTTATAGGCCCTCAGTTTTATCCATGGACTTGTCAGGCCTGCATGGTTCTTCTGGTTCTGCCTTCATACAATTGCAGGGACTTTTCCCACAAATTGTACATTCTTTATAAAATTTGGGGCTGACTAATTCATTTTCCATCGTTAATTTGGACAAAATTTGACTGTCGGTTTTCATTTTTTCCTTCAATGCACATTGAATCTAGTGAACCACTCAATCCAATCAAAGGCAGGAAACGAGACTGAAAGGATCGTTCTCATGTGTAATTTATTAAAAAAGGGCTTTATCCGCCACATATATAAAAAAAAACCCTGGTTAGGTGAACCTTGACGAACATAGAAAGTGATTGATTGTTTAAGAGAAATGCTAATGGAATTTTTTCAAAATTTGATTTTTTATTGACACTCTATCATCTCACAGTTTTACGTCAGTTTTCATATCAATATTATAAAATATTATTCTACAAATATAAAACGATAAAAATTCATAAAGAATCTCATTTTTTTAGAGAAGTCGTCATCGCTTAAATTCGGTTCGAGCTAATTTTTGTGAGCCATTAAGCACTCGAGTCGTAGTCATGGGCCAAAGCTGTTTTGAGTACTACTGAAGTGTGAATGATTAACCCACGAGAGGCTTAACGTTACTCACTCAAAACAAAAGGATGTGTCATAAAGTCATAGAAATATTTTTCCACTAATTTTTTTTCTGCTGAACTATCATTGTTATTTTGCTTTCCTAGAAAGAAGAGAAGGAAAAAAGGACGTTGCTCCGTGTCTTGGGGCCTTTGCAAGCTAAAAATAGATGTGAACTTAGGGGGACACCTCTTGGAAGCAATATTTGCATGCTTTAAAATAATGATTTTCAAACTCCTATTTTCTTCTTCCACATTTCTCTATCTTATTCCTCCTCTTCGTAAATTCAAATGCTAGGAAAAAAAGAACAGAAAAGTGTACAGAAGGAAGAGATGAGTGTAGAAATCCTTTAATTTTCTTTGTCAAGCTGAATGAAAGAAAATGATCACAAAAAGTAGTGGAAAAAGAAAAGGGAAAATATTTTTGTTCAGCACTATTTAATGATGGTGATGCTTATCACTTCATGGATTACCGTCATGAGTTTGATTTAATTTATCTACTACATAAATCTCGAAACACTAATGTGTTTTGTGACCCTGTCTAACAGTCTTAGGTTGCACTAGGATTTTGAGTAATTGTAGCAATGATCCCTTAACTTTAATCAAATTAGAGTAATGGTTCCTTAACTAAAAATCTATTACCATTGGTGTCTCAATTCATCAAAATGTGTAGCTATGGTCATTTTTGTCACCTTCGTTAGAATTTTGTCAAAATAAGTTATGTTGGAAGGACCATTGCTAAAATTGGGATCCCTGAACTCATTAAAACGTGTAGCTATGGTCATTTTTGTCAACCTCGTCAGAATTTTGTCAAAATGAGTTATGTTGGAAGGACCATTGCTCCAATTGGGTTAAAACTGATGGATCATTTCTCTAGTTGAATTAAAGCTGATGGATCATTTCTCTAGTTAAATTAAAGTTGAGTGACCAATGATAATGAATTTTTAGTTGAGGGACCATAATTGCACGTTTTGATGAGTTAATGGACCAATGGTAATGAATTTTTAGTTGAAGGACCATTACCCCAATTAAGTTAAAATTAAAAAAATTATTGTTACAATTTACTCTTAAGTTTTTTTCCCTTCTGAAATCTTTTATCATAATCATTTTTTTTTTCCTGCCATCAGTTGAAAGCATCATTTTGGTGGGACTATTGCTGGATGGCAATGTGGTATACTTTTTCAGGAAAACGGTAGCGTTTTATTGATGATTAAATAGTACTATTTTCAAATAAAGCATATCTAGTAAACTTTATGAATATGGTGTAGTTCACTTTAAATTTGTTCTTGGATTCTTTTTGCCTGGTCAGATATTAGAAATTAATCATGTGACAGCAATTCTAAACGTTAGAATTTTAAACCATGAGTTTTTGCTTTGGATGTTATGATGGTTTCAGTCCTAATGACACTTTTCTCTTGTTGCAAGACATTTTATACTAATTTTTTCAGAGAAGGGGGGAGTTTTGAGCCTGAGACGCATGAGTAAAAATCCAACATCTTATCCACTACGATATTAAATCACATGCAAGACATTTCATACTATTTACTTTTCATCTTATTGCAGCAATATCAGAATATAGTTTTGAAGTATATGAGAAAGGTGCCATCCGTCCTCATCAAATCAATGATGTACCATAATATTGGGCTACATGAAACTAGGTATAACTCGATTTCACTCAATTGTCATCCACTTGAATGGAGAAAGAAGTCACAATCTTCTGCAATCCAACATTACTCAAAATACATATTACTATATTTTTGATCGAAAGAGATACATATTTAAGAGGCCGTTTGATAACCATTTCGTATTTAGTTTTCAGTTTTCATTTTTTATTTAAAAAAAAAAAATTGATTTAGTAACTACTTGTAAAGCCAAATTTTAAAAACTAAAAAAAAAAAAAAGAAGAAGTAAATTTCAGTCTTTTTTCTTTTCTTTAAGTGAAAAAAAAAATGAAAACTTAAAATAAGATAGTTATCAAACGGCTTACCGTTGCTAATTTTTTCTATCTTCATGATGAAATAAGTAAAAGATCAAGAGTAAGCTGAAACACGGGCCAAGTACATATAAATCGTGCCAAACGGATGATGATCACCAAGTACTAGAAGCTGTTGAGACTGGACTTGTTGATGATCGTCAAGCCGACGATATTGTGAACCCTACGGAAGTCCAAGCTACATGTATGCTCAAATTCTGTCTAGCCTTAAAGATCAGGCTTAACACACTTCAAGTCAATCTTACCTGTAGGCTGTAACTAGTGCGACATGCCACTACTAGTACTACAAAGCACAATGGAATGAATCAATGAATACATATTAGTACGTTTATCGCGTGTCGATTATCTTACTTTTAATCAAACTATACTGAGATGAGATTTGAAATCGAATTTCTGTTCCATCATCGTGTTCTTCTGATCCTTTAGGCTCTGTACTTACGGGCCCGGCTTTTATCGATCTGCTGTTAAATGTGTTCAGTCAATTAAGTCAATTATATCAGCTCGATCACAGGTCTCTAAGTTTCTACTGCTGCTCTTCTTTTTTCTCTTCCCGTTTATTGTTTATTGATCACGACAATGCTTTATGTCATGGAATGTTAGGCGGTGAAGCATCAACACGTAGACAAAATAAGTGTAGCGGAGATGAGAATGCTTCGTTGGATGTGGGTCACAAGAAAGGACAAGATTAGGAACGAGGATATCTGAGGTAAATTAGGAGTAGCCAAAATTGAAGATAAGATGAGAGAAAATCGGTTAAGATGGTTTGGACATGTGAAACAAAGACCTACAGACGCTTCGGTTAGAAGATGCGAGTACGAGACAGAGGCTCAAGACCAAAGGGTAGAGAAAGACCTAGGAAGACTTGGAAAGAGACTCTAAGAAAAGACTTGGACGACTTGGATCTAACGGAAGACATAACACAAAACTGACTACAATTGCGTTCTAGGATTCATATAGCCGATCCCACTTAGTGGGATAAGGCTTAAGAGTTGTGTTTATTGTTCTTTTTTAGGTCAGCTAAATTCCTCATTCTCAAGAGTTCTTCGATTTCGCTAGTTTGCTGTAAAAATCTAATTGCTGTAGCAGCATGCAACATGAAACGTTACAGAAAGTCGTCCCAGACAGGTGGTTGAGCTCAGTGTAAGTTTTACGGTTGTGGTTAGATTGCATGATTTATATTTCCGACTGTACTCTAGATTCTCAATAAGTTATAAATTGAATTATTTGATAAAAAAAAAACACATAGTTGCTCATTCGCGTCATTTTCTTCAACACTGGTTCATTTAATCAATATCATAACTAGAATACAGTAGCAACAATCTTATAAACTTTTGATCACTCTAAGACTGAGTGATGTGAATCTCATAAGCTTTTGATCACTCTCAGTGATTGTGCTACCTCCATCATGATCGGCCTCTCGTCCGGATTTTTTTTGAGACACCTCCCTATGAGCTTGGCACATTCCACTACTTGCTTCTTGTTTTCTTCTTCCAATACCTCGGCCTCTAAGTAGGTTTTGCAAAGATTTGCTAACTCCGTAAACTCGAGCTCGCTATATAAGCTTGAACCGGCATTGTAATCATTCTCCATAGACCAATTTAGTACATCACTCCATCTCTTTCCTGCAAAGATCTCACATAATAGAACTCCAAAGCTGTGGACATCACTCTTTTCTGAAGTACGTCCGGATATAACATATTCAGGAGCCATGCACCCGTGAGTTCCAGTAATCACTTCAACATCTACATGAGTTTTACCAAAAGGAATTGGTAATGAGGTTTGGAATTCGGACAGCTTGGCGACATAGTCTTGGTCTAAGAAGATATGTCCAGTCTTTATATCTCGATGGATGATCATCTTCGGCATGGCATAGTGGAGATAAGCAACTGCACCTGCTACTTCAATTGCAATCTTTAACCTGATCGGCCACAGTGGTGATTCACCATCTCCATAGATGTGGTGGGAGAGATTACCTTTTGTTGGGAATTCATAAATTAGTGTAGGCAACTCGGTCTCAAGGCAGCAACCCAACAGCTTCAAAACATTCTTGTGCTTGCTCATGTTCGAGGCAATTGCTACTTCATTCGCAACCAATTCCAGAGGATCCATGTAACTACTCGAGTCTGCTTCAAACTCCTTAACCAAAATCTGGCGCTCTTCATGAACTCCTTTGTAAAGTCGAGAATTCCAATCCCTATGTATCATTCCATCCCAGCCGTAGTCATTCGTTGCCTTGTTGAGGTCTTGTTCGGAGTACATCCGAATCGGATTACAACTCCCATCGAAAGAATGTATGAGCTGTTCCAACATAGCAGCTCCATTCTTCAAGAAGCAGCCCTTCTTTTCCCTGTTGTATTTGTTGTTTCTGAATCTTGATAGCATATTGGAAGATATGCTTTTCAGTTGCCGAAGTCACAACTTTATTTGGGGCTTAACGCGCAAAACATCGAAAGTGTGATTAAATTTCTCTTCACGACTATCGTTTACTTTGAAAAAGTCTTGAAGACTTTTAAAAGGGACTGGCCCTTCGAGAAGTCTTCAAGTAAAAAATTGAAGACAACTAAAAAATTAAATTAAATTGGGTAATAATCTACTTTAAATTACGGGGAGGGGAGGGAACCGAACTTGGTGAGGAGGGCATACTTCTCTAGCCAACTTGACTGCGTTAAGCCCCAAGTTGGCTGACTTTCTGAACAGGGCCAAAAGACTGGAGCTAAACCCAACGGAAACCAATATGCAATCACTCTTCAGAAACCACAAAAAAAGAGCAAAAAGATACTTTCTGCGGAATAGAGCTGCGAGGTTGAAGCTACTCATTCATTCTTTTGATGGAAATTGTGATCCTAATTCAAATGGACTGATCATCAAATTTGTATGAGCAGAAGGATCGGTTTTCCTACACCTCATGTCGAAGTAGATGCAGCTCAAGAACTGCCTACATCAATAGCAACTGAAAATGGAAAACAGTTGATGGGGTTATAGCTAGCCTACTCTTGGAAGGCAAATGAATGTAGTCACCGACTCCCTGCCAAGTCTATGGTCTTAACAGTGACGGCCTACGCTGCTATAAAACTGGTGTGAATGCCTCGATGCCTAGAAATAGCTCAAACGATCAAAACTATAAACAACAGGAGTTGAAAATAGTCGAAGGGCTCTCGAAATCTAGTCATTTGAAAAATAAAGTTCAGGTAACACAGTTGAGAGGAGAAAGGAAAAACCTCAGAACACTTCAGCCTAAATCACATAACGTGAAAGTCTGATGAGCATACATTAAGAACTCAGAACAAATAAATTGTACACTTCCCTGAGCTATACCACAAGCACTACACCCATCCAAATCCAAAGCACAGCATTGCCAAGGAAACCACCAAAGCCCGAAATCCCTGTTGAGGAACCACCAGGACAGCAGCATCTGATGAAGAGTTATGAGCACTGACGGCGGCCTTTGGGGGGGAAGGCAGAGGATGGACAAGGACAGAGACCTTCATGCCATTGTAGCACTGCCCATTGCCACAAATGAAGTAATACCTCTTGGCCTGATTGAGGGGGATGAAGTCTTTGCCACTGCTCCAGTTCCCAACTGCACCGTCCAAGGTGCAGTTGTCATACCCTGTTTGGTTCACTTCAAACACATTGTACTGGTTCTTTTGGTACCTAAACGCTGCAATTTAACAAACATTACACTTTGAGAACAAAAACAAAAACATGGATAAATAAGAAAAACTTGCACAAAAGATAAATTGTTTGATTTTCCCCAAAAGATTTAAATTGTGACACTGCACAAATAGGGGTGGAATTTTTTACTGAATTACCATCCCATACTAATGTTGTACCAATTGGTAATGATATTGGTAATCAAAATCATTAGGTATACCAAAAGTTTGGCACGGTAATGGTAATAAATTTTGCTATACCAAAAGTTTAATGTGGTATTGGTACCGGGATTTTGGTATGGTAACCGTACTGAAGCCAACCCTATACACAAATGGCAACATTCAAAGAACAAGATGATGGTTCATGAGCTATGAAATTTATGCAAGAAAACTTTCTCAGATAGAAACTGAGGCAAACTTTAGGGTATGTTTGGGTAAGAAACTTCCAAATTCCAAGGGATTTAGGTATATTTGTAATGCTTATGTGGTGCATTTTCTAATTCCTCATATCTAATTTTTTGTGATCCATTTCTTCTTCATTTTACATAATGGCCTTAGAATTTGAAAGTCCCTAACCCAAACATAGCTTAAAGATTTTCAAAATGTCTGTGCTAGTTTCAATTCAGTGTACAATAATATGGCATTTCTCATTTCTCTTTAATTTTCTTTACATCAACAAAAAATAAGCAATTTTTCCAATGATGCCACCGAGTGATACAAAAAATAAATGGCTAAAACTAAAATAATAGATTTAAACATCAAATCTAACGGTTAAAACATATGACAGAAACACATACATAGAGAGAGAGGGAGAGATTGTTATCTTACAAATAAGGTCCCCAACATAGAAAGTTTGGTTGTTGGCCCAGAGGGTGTAGTTTTGGCCAGGATTCCAGCCACGGTTGGCTCCAACAATGTGGTCGGTGGCAAGGATTGGAGTGAGCACTGCAAGCCCCGAGATGATGAAAACGACAAGCAAGATGTGGTCATTGGAGTTGGAGTTGGAGTGAGGAGACTTGGACATCTCTTCCTTCACGTCTCTCTCCTCTCTCTCTCTCTCTCCTCTCTCTCCCCCTCAGCTTCCAGTAGTCGCTGCAATATCACTCTAGTGGAGTCTGGAAATACGATTCAAAAGTTGAATTATCTGGGTTGTATGGGAGCCACACAACACGACAATTATATTAATATGGGGGTCCAGTCCAACAATGTTGACAGACTGGTCCACTGTTTAGTCTTTGGGAGGATATAGATTTGAATTAAAGCACAGTAAATTTAACAAAAAGTTTTCTATTTTAACGAAAAATTATATTTTTATACTAAAGTCAATCCTGATATTATTCACTTTACCCTTTATTTTGTCCTTATCGTTAAAACTTAAAATTTTCAAGCTATTTTCATTAATTTTTCTTTAAAGCATCAAATATAAGTGAATACTACATTAGCACTATCAAGTGACCTACTCACTTAGGATAAGGGCTCGTATTGTATTGGTTATATGATACAACTTTAACTTTGTTAGAGCATCGATCACTTAAGCATGCGTACGTGATTGTGGACTGTTGATGCAATCTTGCATTAATAGCCGACAATCTATTTATTATAAACAGCTGAAGAATGCACAAATACAAAATGTAAGTTACATATTCTTAAGATGAATTTTAAGATATCGTCGTATTAACCTTTTGAACTTTGAAACTGGCAAATTTTAATTTTCCTTTGTACTTTAATTGGTAATGTAGGTTTGTCAGGTTTAACCGAAATCGGAGAGGTCCCATTTTAGATGCACTCCATGACATGTTTATTTCTATATATTTCTAGATTGAAGCAGAGGGTTCTAGAAAATTTACTTTAAATGACTTTTTAACCAGTGAAAAGAATCTTAATCTCTATCACCTTTGTCCCTGCGTCGGAGGAGGAGATGCATCATATTATGGTAAACAAATTACACGTGGCATCAAGTGAATGGGCCCAAAATGGAGTGGGTCCGGATATGGGGCCTCTAACGCCTCTACAGGTGGAACTTTAATTGTCATTTTTCTTTGTTGATTTTTGAAAAAAACACTTGAAGGTCTGTCGGGAAGAAAAACGTGCTAATACTAAGAGATCTGACCAAGAGGATAATAGAAACCTTACCACTTATGCTGCCTGGATTTCATCCGTGGCAGCTGCTAATGCTAAGAGACCTACCCTTCTTGTTCAAAGAGGATAATGCTCAATCATGGTGGTAAATGTATGTTTTCAAAGTCGCCAAGAAACATATACACGACGGCGTGTGTGCCCATCTTGAAAACGAAACTTATGCCCCTGCCAACGAATCATAGAGGAGAGGCTACGGACTGCTAGAAAATTTCCCCGTATCGCTATCCAGTGCTCACAAAACAAATGATGAGTGCCACAATCAGATTCTCGTTTTTTCGCACTATTACGGTAGGATTGAAAACATAAAATTTCTTACATGAAGAGTTGTTTACAGTTATGAGTTATAGAACAGAGGGTTTTTCATTCTTCTCTTCCTTTTAAACCGAACTGGAATCGCTAAATCTACAGATAGTAGGTTCCACCAGCATAGATGACTGAGAAGCTGCAGAAGAAAAAAAAATACTACACTTCCAAACAAGTCTTCGTTCACCAAATGTTAACAAGTCTTTGTTCAGTATGAGCAAACAAAAGCAACAACGAAAAGAGGAAAATAGTGTGCTTCCAAATCATGGAAACCACGATAAACTAATCACGTTCATGACTAATTGACCAAAGTTGGAGTCATCTGCCAGAAGTACAATATGAACACGAGGGATCAAGTAGAAAACATACCAGGAACATCGAGAAACAACAGCAATGATTCCCGAATATACCAGAAAACTGTGAATTAAATGCTCTTTGATAAACTTTTGCATTATTGAAGAAGCTGAGCTCCTTTCTCAATGCCAGATTAATTTTTGTCTTAATCAGCTGCCACGGATGAAAACCAGATAGCATAAGTGGTACTGTTTCTATGAGTCGATGTTTGCAGAAGCAGCTTCCTCAATGACTTGGCCAATAACTACAACCCATATCTTTTAGAAATGTTCCGCATGCAGTCGAATTTGAGCTTAAACTATTCAATTGATGCCTTTTTCTTTCATGATTGGCGCAGACTATTCCATCTCTTTGTACTGCCTTGGTTTTGATTAACCTTTGTTGCCTGCTTGACTGGTTTCGGTCTCCGTTTTCCTTTAACACGACTACCTGGCTCCTCCAAAAGCCTCTTAAGCTTTGGATCTTCTACAAATCCGTCAGTCTTCATCTCAGAAAATATTTCCTTGGCCTTAATTAACAACCGACAAGCTGCCAGCCCTTGTACCATTACTGTGTAATGTGCAGAATCAGGCACTACTCCATACTGCTTCATTTCCGTCCACATCTTCAATGCCATTTCAGGTTGCTCTAATCTGAAGAACTTTCCAAGAATCATAAGAAAGGTACTGCTACTGGGACCTAAATTAGCTTTCTTCATCCGATTAAGAATTTCAAGAGTTCCCTCTAAACCTGTGCTCTGGAGAAACGCATTGTAAGTCTCAGTGGTTGGGCTGAGATTATCGGCTATCATAGCGCTCAACATCTGCCTCGCCTCCTCTAGCTTTTCTGATTCACATAAAGGACATATCATTGAGTTATACGTGGTAGCATCTGCCTGCAAACCCTCTTCTTTCAATTTGTCCAGTATTTTGAGAGCTTCTTTAAAACAATTTTCACAAGTGAGAACATAAATTAATGAGCTATAAACGCTGATCCCAGGGATCCAACCCCTCTTCTTCATTTCATCATAGAGCCTAAGGGAGTCAAATAATTTCCCAACCTTTGAGAAGCAGGAGATCAAGTGCGTATAAGAAGTTGCATCTGGTGTAACACAACATTTTGACATTTCTCTCCAAACTCTCTTGGCTTCAAAAACATCAACAGATATGTTACACCACCCATTCAAAATAATGTTAAAGCTCTCGGTCTCCAGTGGGAAAAGCTTCTTATTTACAAGCATGAACTCTTCAGCTTCTTCAATGTTTCCATATTTACAGAGAGCATTCAAGAGGATGTGGAATGCTTCTTGATCAGGAGTCAATCTGAACTTGTCCATTACGTGGAATGTCTTAATGGCCTTACACGGATCATTCACAGATGCATATCTGATGAACAACAAAGGAGAAATAAGGAAAGATTATGATTTTTTATCAGAACTTGTAAACCCTGTATGAGTTTGAGAAAGCATAAGCTCAGGGATGCTAACAAACAAACTCCAAGAAACGGACAAACCTTAGATAATACTCAAATACGAATTTCAAATTTCGATGTCTACAAGTATTCAAGCCACTACCTCCTTTTTAAAATTTATGAACTCTTCTCTCTCCCTCTCTCTCTCTCTCTCTCAAGAAATTTAAAACATACATAAACATAACTAATAGTAAGCTACTAATTACAAGCAATCTTTACTTTAAATAATAGCGACAACAGTGTCATTTACTTTCAATAATTTTAGTCACATACTTCGCCAGCAAAAATTATGTATAAAAATCCAATGAGTATCTGGAACACATAACAGTCCAATAGTGTTGTTGGGCATGTTTCCAAGACCTCATTGAAAAACATTCGGATAGCTTTCAGTTACGAGCATCCAACACCTACATACTCAAATAGAGAGATTAGGGGTGTAAATAAAGTCGAGTTTTTATTGTTTCATTCATGTTGTTTCAGATTCGTCTCACATTTATCGAATAAACCACAGCTCAAGACTAAGATCCCTAAATTCTAAACTAAACTCATCATCTATCACCCTGAAACAAAAATCCATATATCCTGAAGCCAGAAAAAATGAACAAGAACTAATTCTGTAAAGATTCCTACTTTAAAAAGAAAAAATCGTTTGATTTTCGGAGTTTCATGACGTTAAAACATCTTGTTTGATTGCACAAAAACAAGAATTGGAGCAACCATTGAAACAATACATATCAAATTTCAAACTTTTAAGAGTATGAAACAAAAAAATAGAATGCAGAAAATTTACAACCATGTCTAGTTCTAACAACCAAACACTCTAGCTAAATGAAACCTCTTTTCAAACACCATATATAATTTCAATTCAAACCATAACCAACATTCAATCAAAAATTAAAAAATCAAAAGCAAAGCACAAGCATACCTATCAATCATAATAAGCATTGCACGCCGCGTATCCATCAAAGCCCGATGCAAGTCTCGTATCAAACACCAAGCAGTACTGAACTTTTTGTGACTCCCCAGAATCCATACCATCAGACTACAAGCCTCTTCGTTGCAACAGCCCCACTTCTCACCCCATTGGAAAGCCAAAAACGCCGATTTCCAATCTTGCCTCAACTCCCAAATCGCCAAAAGCACCGCTTCTCGATCCACCTTGATGCCCGACTCGTCGAGAAAAGCCATGGTCTCGGCTTCTGAGGCAAAATCGGCGGCGCGTTTGAGCAATTCGAGAAATTGGGTGAAACCCGAGTCGCGGGGGTGGTTTTTGTTGAATCGTTGGCCATTGAAGCCCAAAGGGTCGTTGAGGGTTTGGGCTGAGAAGGGCTGGAGAGTACAGAAATGGCGAGGGGTTTGCGGGAGCACAAGAAGTGTTCGATGAAACGTCTGACAGAGATCGCGGAGGAGAAGTTGTGAGGAACGAGGCGGAGACGGTGAGTCAGAAATGGATGGGAGTAGGGTGTGTGATAGGAAGAGCTGGGAATGTTTGCTTCGCAGTCTTCTTGCGATGGCGGGAAGTGCCATCAGTTCACCACACCAGAAACAGCACTGGGCGTGAACAGTGGCATTAGGAAAAGAGATTGAAAATTGAAACGTGATGACTAAAATGGCACAGGATTCTCCCCGGACAATCCCGACCCGACCAAAATTACATCAAATTTAAAGATGAGCACGGTCCGGTTCACCTCTAAAATTGGAATTGAAATCGAAAAAAAGTTACAATTTGGTTTCTTCGGTTCTTATAAATATTCATCAAGAAAATTGAGTTAAATTGGATTGTAACGGATCAAATTCAGTTCGGTTTGTATTTCATTATAGAGAAATTTTTCGATATATCTAAAATACAGAGCATAATTCTTGTCATAAGGGTTTGAAGGGAGGGAGTTTGAGTCACTGAGTGTGTTGTCCTTGTTGTCATTTCATAATAAAGTTTGTTAAAGGTTTTTAATTATTGGACGACCTTTATTGTCATTTTGTATTAATTTAATATGTTCGATGCAAACATTGGAAAGAAAGAGAAAAAGAAAAAAAGTCGAGCATGACCAAAGGACATGATTATGTTTACTTTTATCTAAATTTTATTTTGATTAATTTAATTTAAGGTTAAAAAAGAAATAGGAGTGTATAAGGAAAAAAATAATGTGTTGAAATTTTAAAGTAGACGTGGTTTGAAAAAGTTAGTTATAGTAGGGTGTTTCGCTCTATGCTTACAAGTTCAAATTTCCTAACGTGTAGTGTTATTTAAGTTTTGACAACAAATATTAGGTAACATGGAGACACTTGTGCTGTGCGTATTTAGGCAAGACTTGACTTCACTCTTTAGATTTATGTTTAAATGCTTTAACAATTACTTATCATTTGTGTTAAAAAAAATGAAACTGAAAGTGACTTACTATATGTTTGGATGAGGGAAATAAATTTGAAAAGAAATTATAAATTCACATGCACCAATTCCTTGTTTGGATTCATAAACATAGAAATTTAGAATTTCCATGGAGAAAAAAAAAACTTGGAATTTGAAACTTCCAATTCCCAAGTTTAAATTCCATGTAAATAGGTGTCATTTCCAAATTTCTATTGACACGCTCGACCTCGATATTCCCCGAACATCATAGTAGGCATGTGATGGGCGACACCCGAATGTGACGAAGCCATATTAGTATGCATGCGAACAAGAAATAAATAAGACTTATAAATTTAAATATAATTAATATGCAAATGAGGAACGTGTTCAGAGCATATAACTAAAACCTAACACTAGAAAGGAATAATATAAAAATTGAATGAACAAAGGAATGGGTCCTACACTGAGGACTTGAAGATGCCGATGCGAAAGTGCCTTAACGCAGGGATTGTATGCCTCGATTCTAAGTCCTAAGGGGGCGCAAAACAAACATGAGTAGACCAAATTGATATATATATATGTGTGTGTATATATATTTATATAATAAAACAGTTATACATCAAACGTACTAACCCCCAAAGTTTCATAAAAACATCAATAGTATAATATGTAGTAGGTTTTCCGCAAAACCTAGCATGCCATAAAACCTTTCCAAAACATATCTCGTATATAATGTACTAACTAGTGGTGTCAGTATCAGTATCTCTCGGCCCAAAGCCATCTACATATATCTCTTGCCAGCCATATATCTCCCTCGCCCATAGGCAGAACAGTGACCACTAGATATGCACAAAATCATTGAACATAGTCTTTCCAAACATATGTGTACATATATCTCAAAACATCTTCATAGCATATAGTCATCCATCATATATACTATAAAGAAATGTGTAAAAGTATGTTCATAAATAGTATATAGTCATCCATCATATATACTACAAAGAACATCAGTTCGATAAAATATGATATTCCAAAATACTCTCAGTAAGCATAATATCTCATAAAACGTAATCATTAAATCATGTTTTTCATGTATGCATTTCTACTATTAAAACATGTATTTTAGAAGAGGCCTACTCACATATACTTTGCCATTGAAAAGCCATGCAAACTAGCAAAGACGGAAACGCCACAAATAATTGCCCCTAAGCACATAAAGGGTTCAATTAATAAAACTCTATTCAAACGATTGAATTTGGGAAAACAAACGTAAAAAACGGATCTAGAACGTCGAATTATCCTAAGAAGGGTCCCAAGTAAATTTTGAAAAATTGCTCTAATGGAATATTCCACAAAATATTCCATTTGGGTTAGGCCGGTCCAACCGGTTCTGGGCCTAAACTTTGGGCCGGTTCCTATGGTCTTGGGCTTGGGCCTAAGGCCCGGCCCACTTGATTGGCCTTGGGTTCAAAAGGGGTTCGGCTTAGCATAAAGGGCCAATGTTTTGGGCCGGGGGTTAAAGGGTTTAGTAACGGGCCTAGGTAGTTATGTTAGATTCGGTTTAGGACTTTAAGGGTTTTGGGTTGGGTTCCACAAGGGCCCAAGGTTTTGGTTTGGGTTCTCGGCTCGATTTTGCGAGGGAGAAGGCCGGAGTTTAGTCGGGAAATTCCCGAGCTTCGATGGAGCTCGAATCTTCCACTATTTTACTCTAAATTTAGACCCACAAAGAAGATAACAAGACGACGGAGTCGAAACTACCTCACTTGTAAAGAATAGGTGGTCGGAGAGGGCTGAGGATCGCTTGCAACGATCACGATCATTGTCGCGGGGAAGCCGGGGAAGGTATGGGCTCAAAGGGTCCGTGCGTCTTCGTCGGGTTTAAAGGATGCAGGAAGGGCCGAAGGATGGTGGTGTGAGTGGTGCAACGGTGTAGAGAGGAGTGAGATCTAAAAGAGAGAGTTCGGGGGAGAGTGATGCAGCGAGGGAGAGATATGGGGATAGCGAGGTTCGATAGAGTGAGAAACAGACAGAGACAGAGAGAAAGGAAGGGGGGTTGGGCCGCCGGAGTGGGCCCCACAGCCGCACACATTAAGATCTAAAAATAATTTTTAAATAAAAACCCAAACTTAGTGAAATTACAAAAATGTCAATTCGTTCCATAAATTTTCGGGACGGGTTTTTACATCTATGAGTGAGAATTTAAGAATAACAAATTCCGTATTCAAATTTCATTGTTCTTTTAGGTTAACCAAATAAGAAAATTCACAAATTCTAGACAATAAAATTCTGTCATTTGAATTCCAGGACAAAGGAGGAGTCCGGAATACAATTTTCTACCCATTATAACCCCATCGAATTCCTAAAAACTCCAAATCTGCCATTAAAATAAACAAGCCCAGATCTCTCCGCCTGCCTCCCTTTCACCTCCCCGCTGTGCCCCAGTGAACCAATCTCAAGAATCCCAGGGTGTGTTCAGATATCGTAGTGAGCTGGTTGTTTTTTGGTTGTGGCATCGTGGTCGTGTGGGGATGGAGGTGCGACACGCGGGAGAGATCAATGGATGCGCATGAAATGATGATGAAGGATCCACATAAAAGAAAATGGAAGAAAGGGAGGGAGAGAGTGGTGGCGGTAGGACTGCTGGCTTGGGAAGTTATGAGGTGGGTATAAAAAATTACGTTTGAAAAGGTCAAAAAAATAGTTAAAAAATTAGTTTATAAAAAGATAGAAAATTCAATCATTTATGAGTTAAGATTGTATGAAAATTAAATTTTACTAATTATCACATAAAATAATTCATTTAGACCAATGACAGTTTAGAATCAAATGGTTTTGATTCCAATTCAGAAGTGAATTGGTGAATAACTTATATGAAACCAACACCATTCGTATTCCGTTTCCTGACAATTTAGTAAAGACATTTTATAGGAATCAATCCAATCTGCATCAACTTAATTCTTCCTCAATTCAAATCCTCTTATTTTGATTACGGATCAGTAAACAAGCTATAAGTGCGACCCACTCTAGGAGTTTCAGTTTTGCGCTGAAACTTTATTCCTTCTTTTGGGTTCGCAAACCCACAATAAATATTGCGATTGGCAATGTTATTTGTGACTTACTTATAATAGGGTCGCGAATATTTTCGTGCTATTATGTCCCACGCAAATTTTCTTTTATTTGTGATGGATGTGCTTGTAGTGTTGGTTTCTTACCTTTTAGGGTTGGGGTTGGTTTATTATAAATGACATGTTTGTTATTTAGTTGAGAAGAAGTTAGTCACAATGTAGCATTTATGAGTTTTATAGCCATTTTTTGTATTTAATAATATTCTTATTATTTTATAATTTTGTTCGTCAGGACTCTTTGATGTTCAACTAAAAATAATGGAAAAATTTAGAAAAATAACCAAAATTTAAAACCCGTATTAAATTATAACCACTCTTGTAAAGTAATGATAATTATAGCCAAAGTTAATATAAAAATACTAATATACCCCTAACGATTGAAAACATAGAATGATTAGATCTAGAAGCAACTTGTCCGTTGACTGCAAAATGCTATTGGAGTCAAGTGGTGAAGATGGGAAACTGGTGGTACTGCGATTGATCTCCAGTTTCATTTACACAATTCTTTTGAGAATATTTCTTGCTGTCAGTTTTCTTTCTGAATTGATCCTCTCTTGCCGCAAAGATGGGGAATTGCTGCTCAGTCACTCTGCAAGTGCAATGCGACGCCCTCATCAATCGCTGCCTGGACTGCACCTTCGGACGAGCATCCTACCTTTGTCTCATGGAAGAAAATCTCAAATCTCTCACAAACGCGTTGGAAGAATTGAAAGCGCTGAAGAACGACGTCGAGGACAAAGTCGACAGGGCCGAGGCACAAGAACAGAGGAGGTTAGACCAAGTCCAGTGGTGGATGTCGAGGGTTGCAGAAATCCAAGTGGAAGTCGTCGAATTGTTGAGAGACAAAGATCAGGAGCTTCAGAAGTTATGTGCAGGAGGGTGCTGCTCGAGTAGCTGCAATTCAAGCTACGAATACGGGAAAAAAGTGACCGAGAAGTTGAGGGAAGTCGAAGCTTTGAGTTTGAAGGGAAGGACTTTCGATGAGGTAGCCGGGGACGCTCCGCCGCTACCGGAGATGCGACAGATGGACCACACTTTGGGGATGGAGTCCATGGTTGTTGAGCTATGGAGGCAACTTGAGGAGCCAGAAGTGCGAATTGTTGGGTTGTACGGAATGGGAGGGGTGGGGAAAACTACACTGCTTGATCAGATCTACAACAGGTACCTCGGCACCCCGAATGATTTCGATTTCATAATCTGGATTCCGATTTCAAGAAATCACAGGATTGAGAAAATTCAGAACGAGATTGGGAGGCAAATCGGGTGTTTTAGTGACAGATGGAAGAACAAAGAGAAGGAGCAAAAGGCTAACGAGATCTTCAAGGCATTGCGGAGAAAGAAGTTTGTGTTCCTTTTGGACGATGTGTGGGAGCAGGTAGATCTGATCAAGGTTGGAATTCCAATCCCCGACGAAACAAACCGGTCGAAACTGATATTCACTACTCGCGACGAGCAAGTGTGCAGCAAAATGGGTGGAATAGGTGGTCGCAAGAAAAGAGTCAAGTGTCTTGAGGAGGATGAAGCATGGAAATTGTTTAGGATGAATGTTAACGTTGCGGAAGATGTGCTTTCTCTTGATCCCGAAATCCCTGTCCTGGCTAAGACTGTGGCAAGAAAGTGCGCCGGTTTGCCTCTTGCTCTGAAAATAGTTGGCAGGGCAATGTCTTGCAAGAAGACAGCAAGAGAATGGAAAGGTGCAATTGATGTTTTGAGGTCATCGGCTTCGAGATTTGAAGGTATGGAAGAAGTTCTCCCTCTTCTTAAGCTTAGCTACGACAATTTATCTAGCGACGAAGTCAAGGCTTGTTTCTTGTATTGTGCGTTATTTCCGGAAGATTTTGCTATTCATAAAGATGAGTTGATATACAAATGGATGGGTGAGGAAATATTGAAAGAGTATGCCGATGTAGATGGAGCTCTAAACAAGGGTTACACTATCATCGGTACTCTTGTTCGTTCTTGTCTGTTGGAAGATATAAGAGGCCATGTAAAAATGCATGATGTGATTCGTGATATGGCCTTGTGGTTAGCTTGTGAACTCGAAGAAACGAAAGACAATTTTATGGTTCAAGCTGGCCATCTTTTGAAGGAAATACCGAATGTTGAAAAATGGGACGGTGTGAAAAGAATGTCATTGATGGCCAATGACATTGAAAATCTTGACACAATACCTTCATGCCCCAATCTACATACCTTGTATCTCAGTAATAATCGTCTGAAGATGATCGATCACAATTTCTTCAATTCTATGTCCACCCTACAAGTTTTGGATTTGTCCAAGAACAAGGATTTAGCCCAGCTGCCATCAGGAATATCGAAATTGGTTTCGTTACTATATCTTGATCTTTCAGAGACATGCATAGCAGCGCTTCCAATTGAGTTAAAGGCATTGGTGAAGCTAATATATCTGAACTTGGAGCATACCAGTGAACTTGATGTGATTCCGCAGAATTTACTCTCTAGCTTCTCGAAACTCAGAGTTTTGAAACTATATAATAGCGGTACTTGCAAAAGCATTCTTGGGGATAATGCGCACCTGGAAAGTGAATTGCAAGGTTTGAAGCACTTGGATATGCTAACCTTTACCATACAAACTGATCTTGAAAGGTTTTTCGCCTCCAACAAGCTAATGAGCTGCACTCGTTTTCTATGCCTTGACGGTTTAAGCTTGCTTGATATATCACCGTTGGCATATATGAAACGTGCATATTCTCTTATTATTAACAGTTGTGGTCGTGTGGAGTACAACTTAGATGTTTTAAGCCAAAGTTCCTTCAAACACCTTGAAGCTGTGGATGTACATGATTGCCCCAACTTGTCGGACTTGACATGGCTCGTCTTTGCTCCAAATCTCAAGACATTATCCATACGCTCATGCTCCAACATGACAGAAATAATCCGACTTGAAAATTGGGTGAAATTGCCCAAGTAGATGAGATGAATCAATTTTCAAAGCTTGATGAATTGATATTGGTAAGCCTACCACAGTTGGAGAGCATATACGGAGACAAAACCTTGCCCTTCTGTATCTGAAGAGAATCGAAACCCGTGGCTGTCAAAAGTTAAAGAAGCTTCCCCTCAACCTTCGCAGCGTCCCGAAACGTGATCTTGTGATCACTGGAGAACAAGAATGGTGGAATATGCTCCGTTGGGAGAGTGAAGATGATAAGAAGGCTTTCCTCCCTTGTTTCAGACAATATAAGTAAGCGGTTTATGATGCAGGAGCCATGTTCATGGTAATTTTCATTTCATAAGTGCAACTTTACACATGTATTTAGGCTCGTTGTTATGTAATCTTGTATTCATTGTCATTGAGTACCTCTGCATCACATGATCAATGTGTTAGCTGTGATACCGGAGTTCAGAGAGTCCGGATTTCTCTTTCGCTTCTTTTCCCTTACTCTTTTGTTCCATATGCATCATCTGCACTTTGTAACTACAATCCATGGTTGTACTTTTTGTTACTTCTATTTATTTCAAGAGGAAAGCAATCTGATTTCAGATGTAAAGAGTGCTGACCATTTTGTGCTTTGAATAACAATCTTAATCGCCTGGAACGATAATAAGGATGATGATGGTGGCGATGATCTCATATTGCCTTACAAGTAGTCTCCGACCCCTCGCAGCAAGTAGATTTAGCCATATGAAAACTTGCAAGATAATATGTGGAAGAGAAAGTTGCTAATTCTGCTGCATCTTGTTCATAGTTTAATTGAGCTGAGAAGGTCTTATTCGGGGGAAAGCGTCCGGAGGTGCAGTGGTGTCGTCGTTCTGAAGGTCGAGGTTTGGTTTTTCTAATTGGCACATTGCAGTCCAAAGAAAGTTGAGGATGTTATGGAGATGCTGTCTTAGTTTTCATGCTGTCTAACAATACGAGCAATTTGATCTGTTGGCATGATCACATACACAAAACACAACCAAGCCATCAACGAAACTGCCGCACTTGAATTTACAACACATTTCTTGCCCTCTTAAGTGTAATTTCAGGCTGTTTGGCAAACACAAAAGTTGTGTGATGAGTTACCTTTTTTTAATAGTCCGGACTACTCAGTAATACGAAAAATGAACGGTCATGATTGAATTGAAGAAATACTATTTTTCTTACTTGCTAATTTAATGGATAAAGAGTCGAACTACTGAAGGCAAACCCAAGTTACTTAGTCACGTATCCTGCATGCATGAAAACTAACTTATGAGCTATAAAAGAAAATTAAATCAAATGTGGCGGAGCCAAAAATTTACCACTAAAGTCATGGCAGTCTTGGCTGGACATTCGCGTCAATTTACCCAACATTAGTGGAACAAGAAATATAGTGTTGGAGCATGTGACTTAGGCCATCTCCAACCGAGGGTTGGCCAGAGAGCTCGTTTTAGCCCTCTGGCCCTCCAAGATCCTCCAAAATATTAATATTTTTATGAACAGTACATGGCCATATTTGCCTCCGTCTCCAACCGAGGGCCAGAGGCCCAGATGACTCATTTGAGCCCTGTCACAAAAAATCATCTCCAATCGAGGGCCAAAGGGTCAAGCATAATTTATTATTTAAAAACTACAACTTAAATTCAAATTCAACGGCTAAGTGATGTCAACATAATTTATTACTTAATTTAATTTAATGTTGTATAATGACTTAGGAAGTGGAAAAAAAAATATGAAACAAATTTTGTAAAATAGAAGTTATAGGAAAAAAATATAATTTAAAAAAAAATATGAAACAAATTTTGTGAAATAGAAGTTATAGGATAAAAATAGAATTTGAAATAAAATAAAACAAATTTTGTGAAATAGAAATTATAGGAAAAAATGGAATTAAAAAAAATATATGAAACAAATTTTGTAAAATAAAAGTTATAGAAAAAGATAGAATTTAAAAAAAATATGAAAAATAGAAGTTACAGGAAAAATTTTGTATATAAAAAATAATAATAAAACTGTAAAAGAAAAAATTCAAAAGCAACGGCTAACTGACGTTACCTAGCCGTTGCATTTGAATTTTTTTCTTAAGCATTCTTGTCGGTTATAACCGACAGGAAAGATGATTTTTCTGACCAGCCATCCAGCCCTTTCCGATTCCGTGGAGCCCTCTCAGATTCCACAACCTTCTGGATCCTTGGGTTGGAGATGGTCTGGCCAGAGGGCTCGTTTTAGCCTTCTGACCCTCCAAGATCCTCCAATATATTAATATTTTAATGAATAGTACATGACCATAATTGCCTTCGTCTCCAACCGAGGGCCAAAGGGCTAAGCATAATTTATTATTTAAATTTAAAAACTACAACAACTTAAATTCAAATCCAACAACTTAAACTTAAAAACTACAACGATAACTGGCCCAAAAAACCAAAAAAATTAGAACTTAAATTTAATGAATGGTTTAGGTATTTATAGGAAAAAAAAAATTAGAATTTTTAAGAATTAAAAAAAAAAATGAATACAACGGCTGGCTAACTAGCCATTGTATTCAAATTTTTTTTAACCAATCATGTTGGTTATAACCGAATGAATGCTCTATTTTCTGGCTAGCCCTCCAGCTCTCTAGCCGTTTCCGATTCCGTGGGGCCCTCGATTGAAGATGATTTTCGAGCTATTTTCGACCCTTTGGATCATTCGGTTGGAGATGGCCTTAATTGCTATCACTTTGGTTTGGTCATTAACAGATCCACTTGCCATCAACCCGATTCGTTAAGACTCAAATGAAACACTAAACTTTTGTACTTGTTTGTGTCATGTTAACAGACTAAATCCAAAAAACTAAAATGAGCTTAGGCTCATAATTGTGAGAGAGAAATTTCAATGTGTTAGAACACGGCCCGGTATCCTAAGTGTCCTAATACAAGTAGTTGGATACTAAAAAAAAAATTTCAACCATTTGTATTGTTACATTAGTGTACCGAGCCGTTTCCTCGTATACTGAAAAATTTCTCTTCTTTCACATTACTTGATAAATTGATAAAAAAAAAAAAAAATTGGTGGATAACGAAAGCATCGTTTGGGGAGCTCCAGATGAGGTATGCCAACACTTTCCTTGGAGATTTACTAATTTTTTCACGATTTTTAAAATTTTGAGTTGGCAGCTTGTTCGACAAACCAAAACTAACAACAAGAGAGTTGTTCGGCAGTGAATGATTGAAAAACAATTTGAAATATAAAAAAAAAATGTTCAGCTGGCACATCGGAACACCATGAGAATTATTCGACAGTGGCCAACTAAACAACAAGAGAACTGTTTGGCACACCAGGGCCAAACACTCTTCACGACCAAAACTTCTCGTCCAAAATCGAAATTTCACTTTTTCCAACCCTCAAAATCTAAAACTACCAAACCAGAGATCGATAATCAGTTCAAATCATTCCAAAACAAAACAGATTAAGCGACAAAACAATGAACTGAAGCAACGTCTTGAAATCTCAATAGTTGCTAAAGGCTAAAGTGTAGTTACAACAATTGAAAGTGCACTTTGCATTAAAGGAAGAATGCAGGAGACGAAACAGGAAATTGTACTCAAGTTCCTTGGAGGAGGACGTCTGATGTATTCGTAACGTCTTTCCCACCATTTCAGTCTTGACAGGGGACTGGCAGTCAATTCATCTCCTGTTGTCGTATGAAGATGTAGATGTTAGACCTGCTTCGTCTAAAGAGATTAAAAATGATGCAAAAAAAACTGAGAAAATAAAACATCAACGTACAAATGAATGCAATCTCTCTTTTGGTGAAATGGCAACTGCTGTAATCAACAACAATAAACAAAGGAGTTTTGTAATTAACAGCATCCGTCAACGTTCTGAACATTACTTTCCTGTGGAATTTCCACGAGGATCCAACTCTAAATTCTAAATAGTGCTGAAATATAAGGGGAAAATGTAAAAGGAGATGCAAAATGTTGAACTACAAGTAAAATATTGGATAAAGCAGGCATAGATCAAGGGCAGGAAGAAGGAAAAGATTTCAGAATAGGAAGTTACCAGAACTGCTAGATGAGATTAGTTGAGCCACATTTGTTGAACCAAGAGTTATTCAGCTTCATGCTCTTCACAAGCAGGTGAACTCAGAGGTCGTCTCTTTGAACGCTTTCAAAATTAAACTTGATATTTGGAATGTGGGAAATCTTATCCCACTCCTTGCCAGTCCCCACAATGCAATGGTCTTGGAGAACTTTAGAGTCAGTGATCGTCAAATTCTGTAGTGGTGTCTTTTTCAGGAAGTTTGGCAGCACGTCTAAGCAAAAGCAGGAGTTAATCTCTAAGGAAAGAAGACATGGCATTATTCTACACGAAATATCTTCTTCCGTAGACCTTAAGCTCCCTTCCCACACTTTCCACTTTGCCAAGGAAGAAAACCGAAGTTCACTTAATTTTGGGAATGAAACAAATGTTGATATTTCTGCACCATCAGTTCCTATGCCCAAAAACTCAAGCCCCACATTTTTCACACTTTTCATAAGACATATTTCAAGTGATTCAAGGGATGGAAGTTTTCCCAGAGGAGGCAAGGCCTCAGAATATTGGCAGGAATACAAGACAAGCCTTCTCAAATTAGTTAAGGACATCATCCAATCCGGAGAAATGGTGGTGCCTCTGTGCTTCCGTATCTCTAAGGCTTCTAAATTTGAATGTGGCTGTAAGCATTCCAGTATTATTTCATCTTCAAGCCTCCGCTCTCCACTCCAATCAAAATCGAGCCTCACATTAACAAGGAGCTTGCTATACATAAGTTCTGCTTTCTCAGCCTCCCCCACGTTTTCTATATTGCCACACTTGCATATCCGAATGTAACCTTGAAATTTGTTTAACTTTTTCAAATCTCCCAACTGTAACGCTTCATTCTTGTCACAACGTGCCACACCAAACATATCTAGCGTTTGAAGAGAAGTAAGTCTTGCAATTCCTTTCGGTAATCTCTCTAGATTAAAAGACCAATCAATATGAAGATGTCGTAAGTTTACTAGTTTCCCCATCGCTTCTGGGAGTCTTTGAAGTCGCATGCAATCTTTGATCAACAAGGTTTGCAAATTAGATAAATCACAGAGTTTCTCAGACAAGCTTTCCAACTCATCATTACCAGATAAATTGAGATATCTCAAATGCATAAACTCACCAATCTCTTCTGGTAGTTCTTTGAACCAGCAATCACTCAAATCTAATGTCCTAAGACTTGATAGATGCGAGAATATAGCAGGATTTATGGTGGTGTTTGTGGAATCCAAAATGAAGAGAGTTCGTAGACTCTTTCCATTCCAAGTTGACGCAGGAAATGCAGCATCAGGTGCTAGAACAAAAGTAGAATGACGAATCTTTTCAATCACTAGGTTATATTCCTCTGCAACACCATCAACATCCATGATAAAGCATTCAGATTTTGTGAGGAATTGAGCAAAGTCATGCACTAAGTCATGCATCTTGCATCTTATAATGTTTCCTTGATGATCTTTTTCAAAATCCTGGAAGAAAGACCGCATTGCTAAATCCATAAAGTATTCTTGACCTAATATTTCCTTTTCTTTATTTCCGTCGAAATGAAGATAACCCTGTGACATTCACAATTTAATCAAATTATCTCTTTCAATCATGTAATCTCTTGGAAAAATCGCACAATATGAGAAACAACGTCTTAGTGCAGGGGACAAATCATAATAGCTCAGCAGGAATGGAGCAAACACTTTTGTGTTGACATCTTCCGGTTCCCACATCCCATTGTGCAAAACATATTCCCACTGCCGTCTAGTATTTTGAAAGCGCATGAGAGCTCCCATTGTCTTTGCAGCAAGAGGCAAACCATGACACTTGCTTCTTTTCCCTACCAATTTCTTCTAGTAGCTTGCACTCACTTGTATCCCTTCCGAAAAATGCTATCTGGCTAAATATCAACCAAGAATCATCCTCGGACAATTTCCCCAGAGTAATCATACCGTTGGTTCCATCATCCGAGCAACACTCTCATTTCTTGTGGTCACCAAAATTCTACTGCCTACACCGCCGGCATCCAAAGGCCGCCTCAGAAGTTCCCATTTTGAGGAGTCTTCATTCCATATATCATCTAGAACAAGAAGAAACTTCTTCCCAGCAATAGCTTCATGTATATGCTCTATTAAAAGATCCAGCTCAACCAACTTCTGGGTCTGACCAAGAACAGCTTCGAGAATCTCTTTGGCAACCTTCGCTGCATCGAAAGGGTCCGAAACGCACACTCAAATTCACAAATCAAAATGGGTTCTGAGTCTTCTGACCCTGTCGTCGTTATACACCAATTGAACAAGAGTGGTCTTTCCCATCCCACCCATCCCCACAACAGGGATGACATCGACATCGTGCCTCGTACCGTCTCCACTGCTCTCAGACACTAACCTGCTCATCAAAACCTTCTTATCTTCGTCTCGGCCATAAATGGCAGATTCCTCAATCAAGGAAGTAGTTCCCGATCTCGCAGGTTGTTCAATTTGTTCAACCTCTCCAACGTTGTTCAACTTATTCAACCAATTAAAACCGTATTTGCCTCTCTCGGACGCAATAGCATTCAATCTCTCCCTCAGTTCATTCATTTTGACGGCGATTTGACGGCGTTGACAGACGCGGCGGACTTGACTGAAACAAAGGAAGGAGTTGAGTATGCAGGACCGTACCTTCTCGGAGAATCCGAACTGGAGTTTTTGAATCTTGATTTTGAGAAGAGCGGTGTCCCACTCGTCCAACACTTCCTCCAAGTCGGAGACGGCGTCTTTGAGGTCGCACAGCCAGTTACGGACGAAGGCCTCTTTCAGTTGTCTCCGCTCTGCGTCCTCCAGCAGCGGTTGGATTTCACGGAGGACGGAGGCCAGTTGGGTGTCTCCCTTGTCGGTCGGTGAGCCCGGACACGAGGGCTTCGGCCATTGTGGGAGCTGATGCCGCGCCTAATTGACAGGTCTAAGAAATTAAAAGAGAAGGCAACGACTATGCGCGCGCGCGCGCGTTCGAGAGAGAGAGAGAGAGGGAGATAACTTTATTTATTTTAACTTTTGTCAAACCATACTGTTTTCGCATTTTACACCACAAGATTTGGATTATTACCAAATGCGCTCGAGATTTAAAGTTTCGCATATTACACCATGTAGTTTTTTGAATTCCACCATTTTATTCATCCGTCAATTTCACTGTATACTTAAAAATTAAGTGTTGACGTTGTATAAATTGAATCCACGTTTGAAGTACGCCTTGCACCATGTGACAATAGTTTAGATTATTGACGTCAAAAAGCGTAAAATACTTATTGTCGAAATTGTCCTTAGACAGATGATTTAAACACAATTAACATTGTTTTCATTTTTTTTTCCTTTCTTTTTTTTGTTTTTTAGGTAAAAACTTGTTTTTTTCTTTATTAAATAAATGGGGGAGTCTGCACTCACCTTCCACCTTCGGCACTCTAATTTTTTTTTTTTTAATATAACCGAGCACAAATTAATCTCAAACTCGTTATTCATAAGATTTGAATATAGGATTTCTCACTTACAAATAAAAAATAACCCTAGTAAATCATAAAACTAAATCACTAAACTGTGTTCGTGTACTTACATGAAATGAGTTCACCATCATGCAATACATTATTAAAATGTTAGTTGCGAACTTCTTGTCGTTTCATGTAAGTTTCACTCCCAAACAGTAAATTATACTTTTATGTTGTCGTGGCGACAAGGTCGTCGGTGATTGATACATCTGGCGCAAGTGGTGGTGGTTTCAAGACCGTCAAGTCGTTGCTCAAATTCCATCGAGGGTGCGGTTGGAGTGGCCCAAATTCAATGGCAAATCATTGGGATCCTCGTTCGAGGTGAAACAATAGCGGTCTTTACTAAAAATTTAAGAAAAATTACAATCTTCAAAGAGGACTTCCTGGATTAAATCCAAACTCTCTTCAAACTAAAAACACACAAGAATTAGTTGGCATAAAAGCACCTGCAAATGGACCTATTGTAAGTAGTTTAGTTCAAGGATCATCTCTGCTTGACCCACACGTTAAACCATCTTTTCATGTTGACGTTGATTACGTGGATGGATAAACTTTTACCCATGTAATCAACGTCAACATGATCTACTTTTCTGCATGAATTAGAACTTAAGCTATATACTAAGAACCCAGGTGCGCATACAAGGAACATCATCTACTATTTCATCCCAATACAGCAAGCTGACTAGAGCTTTCAGTTTCAGATGATTGGCTAGTCAGCTTGCTTTATCTTGTTGCAACCACACTTCATTAATCGTTATACGCTTAAATTTGTTACCGACTGCTAATGTATCCAAAATCGATCCAGCAAATATATATACAAACCCGAAAATTTGTTATCTAACTGCTAATGTATGTACATTTCTTCAATTCATGTAGTAATACTTGAAGGAGAACAAGCAATAACGAACCATGACAAACTCTTATCCTTGAAAAGGAAAAAAATGTCTGAAGGGGAAGTTCATCAAATCTGCAATGCCTGAGAGTCTCAAAGAGTAACTCAAGAGGTGTCCTGTTCGAATGCAAGCATCAAACGTCAAATTTGATATTCGGGATGTGAGAAATCTTGGACCACTCTTTTCCTTTCGACTTTTGGCAATGTTTTTGGAGGATCTTACACTTGCTGATCGTCAAATTCTGCAGCGGTATCTCTTTCAAGAAGTGTGGCAAAGTCTTTACGCAAAAGCAGGAGTCAATCTCTAAGGACATGAGACATGGCATGATTTGGATCGAACTATCTTCTTTCTTGGACTTTGATGCCCCTGCCCATGCATTCCACTTGAACAAGGAAGAAAAACGAAGTTCCCTCAGTTTCGGGAATGAAACTAAACAGCACTTTTCTGCACCACCGGTTTCTATCCCCAAAAACTCGCACCCCACCTTTTTCATGCTTTTCATATGACATATTTCGAGTGATTCAAGGGACAGGAGTTTCCCCAAAGGAGGTAGAGACTCACAATCCAGGCAGGAATGCAGGATAAGCCTTCTCAAATTCGTTAAACTCATCATCCAATCTGGAGACACGGTTCTGCCTCTATACTTCCGAATCTCTAAAGATTCCAAATTCGGATGTGGTTGTAAAGCTTCAAGTATAATTTTATCTTCGTGTCCCCTCTCTTCACTCCCATCAAAATCTAGAGTCAAATCAACAAGGTTTCCTCTGTTTACGAGTTCCGCTTTCTCAGCCTCATTCACATCTTCTAGGTTCCCACACCCACATATATGAAGATACCCTTCAAGCTTGTTCAAATTTTTCAAATCTCCCAGCTTAAATGCTTCTTCGTTGTCATACTGTGGTAGGACGAGCATATCTAGTGTCTGTAGAGAAGTCAGTTTTGCAATTCCCTTGGGCAAACTCTCTAGATTAAAAGAACAATCAATGTGAAGGTGTCTTAAGTTCAATAGCTTCCCCATCCTCTCTGGTAGTTTTCTAATTCGCATGCAATCGTTGATCAACAAAGTTTGCAAGTTAGATAAATCACACAGCGTCTCAGGCAACAATTCCAGTTCGTCGTTGCTAGATAAATTGAGATATCTCAAATGTATAAACTTTCCAACCTCCTCCGGTAGTTCTTTGAACCAGCAGCGACTCAGATTTAGTGTTCGCAGACATGTTAGATGCAAGAGTATATCAGGGTTTATCGCAATGTTCATTGAACTCAATGTGAAGAGTGTACGCAGTCCTTTTCCGTTGCAAGCTGAGTTAGGAAATGCAGCCCCAGGTGCTAGGACAAAAGTAGAATGACGGGCTACTTCAATGTTTGCCTCTCCGAGGTCAGCCCCAGGTGCTAGGGCAAAAGAAGATTCACAGGTGCCTCCACTGCCAGACTCTTCAACACAATCAATACCCGTGATAAAGCAGTCATACCTTGTGACATATTGGACCAAGCGATGCACTTCTTCATGCATCTTGCATTTTACAATGCTTCCTTTATAGTCTGTTTCAAAGTCTTGGAAGAAAGACCGCATCGCTAAATTCATAAAGCATTCTTGGCCTAATATTTCCTTCTCTTTATTTCTGTCGACATTGAAACCAAGATAACCTTGCGACATCCACATTTTGATCAAATTGTCTCTCTCAATGACGTGACCTTTCGGAAATATTGCACAGTATGAGAAACAACATCTAAGCACAGGTGGCAGATCATGATAGCTAAACAGAAGCAGGTCAAAAGTGCTTATGTTGTTGGCATGTCCCAATTCCCACACCATTTCTCGCAAAACAGATTCCCACTGTCCTCTGGTATTCTTAAAGTGCATGAGACCCGCCAAGGTCTTTATCGCAAGAGGCAAGCCATAGCACTTCTTTACAATTTTCTTACCAATTCTTTCGAGTTGTTTGCACTCACTTGCATCCCTTCCGAAAAAAGCTCTCTGTCTAAACATTAACCACGCATCTTCATGCGACAATGAGCTTAGATCAATTACGCTAGTAGCTCCCATCATCTTAGCAATGTTGCTAGTTCTTGCAGTCACCAAAATCCTACTCCCTGCTGCACCGAAACGCAAAAGCTTCCAAAGAACATACCCCTTTGAGAAGTCTCCATCCCGGAGATCCCACGCATTATCAAGGACTAGAAGGAACTTCTTTCCACCGATCGATGCACGAATACTCTCAAACAAAGCTTCCCGTTCAACAAAGTTTAACGTTCCACTCTTACGAGGGATAGCTTCAAGAATTTCTCTGGCAACCCTCGTCCCATCAGGCGAAACAGAGTCACACCCCCAAATCCTCAAATCGAAATGGGTTCTGACACTTTGATCATTATATGCTAACCGGGCAAGAGTGGTTTTCCCCATCCCACCCACCCCAACAATTGAGATTACACCATTCCCCCAACACCCTTCACTCCTCTCAGGTACCAATTTGCTTATCAAAATCTTCGTATCTTCGTCTCGGCCATAGATTGCGGACTCTACTTCTTCAATTAACTTATAAGTGGCAGTTCCAATTCCTAGTCTCCCGGATTGTTCAACCTCTCTATTTTTTACAGAATTAAACTTGAACCTATGTCTCTCAGTTGCAATCTCACTCAGTCTTTCCCTCAAACGCTTTATCCTCTTTGCAATTCGAACCCAATCGACTATATCAGTGCAACAAAAGCACGAGGTGAGTTGGGAAAAGCATACCTTCACAAAGCTAAAAGCTTTCGATATTCCACGACTTTCTTCTTCTTCTTCTTCCTTCTGGGTATCTTCTGATTCAGGGACGGCAGCGCTGCAGCACTCATCGAGCATGTCCTCGATGTCGCAGCTGGCGTCTTTGAGCTTGTCCAACCACGCTCTGACTGGCTCCTCCTTCACTCGCCTCTTCTCGGCGTCCTCGAGAACGGGTTCGATGTCGCGGAGGATTCTGGCGAGCTCTGGGAATCTGTGTTTTTCTTGGAGCTGGTCTATGAGTCTGGAGACCAAGGCGAGTGCATCAGCCATGATCGGAGCTGTAGCTTCACTAGCAAGAAAGAATGGAAAAGGGTAGGAAACTTAGGACAGGGGAAGATATATTTGTACAAGAAAATACCCATTAGAAAAAAGGAATGAGAAACATTGACCAAAAAAAAAAAAAAGCAACGTTGACCAAACAGGAAAAAGGAAGGGAATGAGAAAGACATCAAATATACCGTTGCCCAATTTTATAATAATGTTTCACGTGTGTCCAAAATAGTGTTCAATCTCGTATTTTCAGTTTCTGTGTTTGCCTTTCGAATCAACTCCCAGGAAGGTGCGTAGAGCTTTCGATTTTCTTGCTGTTCGAGTGTTGACACCACTTTCTTTTTTCTGTTTGTTTTTATTGACACTTGTTTACGGCACCGCATAATTTTCTTCTGGGCTCGTTATTTAGGTTTCGGGGTACATATTTATGCTGTGTGCTTATTGCAATTAAGCCGCTTTCTTGTAAATTTCTTTTTGTTGGTAATAAAGTCATCTTCATATCATCTTTAGAAATTTTTATTCGATTTGTAACCGTTTAGTTTTATGT